CGGGCCTCTTCTTTTTATATCGCATTCCTATAAAAAGTGAGAAGGAATCATATTGCCAGCAGAGATGTAAAATCAGGTCGGGACTGTCGCTGGTTATTTAAAGGTATTGCAATGCTTTTTGTAAGACTGAACATATTACATGCCGTATCTTGGCTAAATTCCATCTTTTATAATTACATCCTCTTCTCCTCTTCTTAAATATTTCTTGCTGTCACAAGAGGATGCAGCATTCTTCTTCCTTCTGGTCTAGATGTTTGGGTAGCAGTGTTTCAATCTCATTGTGATCTCTCTGAAAGACAGGTTTAAGGTGCCCAAGGTGCAGCGCGCTTTCTGCATCACTCCTTGTGGCATTGCTGTGGATGGAGAGAAAGAGGGGTTTGAAATTAATAATCAAGCAGAGGTTCCATTTTTCTCCCTGCTTAAGTACAAGCACAAATCTGTTGGTTTGGCTTCCTCCACCGTTACTCGCTTGGTACAGTGTAATCACTCCCTGGAGCAGTGGGAGGCTTAATACTTTAACTCTAAAAAGTACTTTGAGATCATTCTAGCCAAAATGCAAACAACCAGTATCCCATTAGTACTGGGAATGCTTTCAGAGCATTGACCAGCTTGTGCTTCCAGCTTGATGAGCTGGTGATGGTAGCCCTTAGATGGCACTTTGATAATCAGAATCCGGAGGGGGGTGTTACTATGTTAGCTGCTCAATGAACTGCTGAGATTGTACAGAAAGCAAACAAGGGGTCTGTGACTATAAACAAAAAAACCCAGCCACCTGATACTATTTTAATATTGTTTTCTCCGTGGCTACAATGTTCGCTGGCGAGAAGTGCCCACAAGCCTGTTCCTTGGAAACACAGGCAGATACTGCACTAGAGCAATGGTCTGGTCTTTGCCGTCTAGTAGCCACCTATGGGCAATAGTGGATATTTGAGAGGAGAGCCTAGTGAAGATGTCCGCTGGTACATCTGGCCAAATGCACCATGCCAAAAGTAAAATTCCCCATCACAAATAGCACTAGAGGGGTATCCTGGTGCTAGTTTCCACAAAGACAAAATTGAATTGACTAAGAAATGAAGCTACTATTTCTCACCTGGAACACTCACAAATTGGACTGAGGGACTTGGGGAGAAGTTGATCATGTTTCACTGCAAGTGCCAGAACTGCAACCTTTTTTCTGTGTATAATAGTTTTCTGTGGTGCTCAGTCTGCATCGTCTTGGAAGTTGGACTCTCAGTAGACTTAATTCCTCTTTCCTTCAAGGGCTCTGCTTTGGTGGCAACTGGCCTGACTCCTCACTGCTTTGTATATTTCTAGAGAGAGGTACGTAGTGATTTAAAATAGTGCTGTTTATCAGTAGCATTGTCTCTATATGCTCCCTTATACCCTCTTCGCTCAGTAGTATGGGATGGTTTATGCACCAGGCAGCGAATAATGACACCCATAGTTGCCTCTCTCCTTTTTACTTCTTTTTCTCTAGTAAGTGCATGGGGGTCTAAACAGGAATAACATCATTTGAAAAGTACTGATTTCATATCTTCCCTTTGGTGAAATCCAGCTCTACTCATGTACCTCTTTTGCAGAGAGGTGCTCAAATATTTCAGAGGAATGTCTGTGCTGGAAAAAGAATGCAAAAGAACATAGCGGGGGCCACAACCCCTATATCAGCTTAATCTTGCCACTGTGGAGCTCTACAGCAGGTAGGACTTGGCAGTACAGCAGTGTGTATTTATTCCTGGTGTCAGGAGCCTCTGGGATGCTCTTATTGTGCTGGCTGTAGCCAGAGCTTCGGAAGAACTGCTGGAGCCCTGCTGCAGAGGAATGCTCTGCATCACACCCCAACACCTTTGTGTGTGTATCCGGAGAGCGGGAGGGAAGGGAACACGGACAAGGCGTAACATCCATGCCGGCAGCCTCAGACCACCCAGCAGGGGAATGCTTGGCGGTGACTCCGGGCAACATTCAAGCACCTTTACACGGTACAACAACTTCAGCTGGGGGCTGAGAATTGGCTCTCATGTATTATTCATCCAAATTGCCTTTCCCCACTCCAGAAATCTACACTCATCTCTCTTCACTAGAGAATCTGTTCAATTTCCTCTTGTTTAGCACTGTGCTGCAGTGCTTACATTTCCGCCGAGTACCTTCACTTAGAGACTGATCGGCAGCAATCACAAGTCCAACTTCTCAGGAATGAAGCGTGGGAGAGAGAGGAAGATGTAGGTTCATCTAATTTGATCAGTCTGTTTTGTTATACCGAATATTTGATTTCCAATAGCCAGCTCCTGTGGAAGGAAATAAAATTATAAGAAATCCAGTTTCTTTTCCTTTTTGCTTTTTTGGTAAGATTTTAGGTTTGACTCATCTTTCCCAGGCTAATTGTCAAGAAACTGACAGATCAGTCGTGGTTGACAAGTGAGTAATTGGGAGAAGAGAGGGAGTGCAGCAGGTGTCAGTACTAATTTGGTAAAACAACAAAAAAAAAAAAGAGTAGAAAGTGGTATGATAGTCACTTACACAGTCATGACGTTTCAAGCTTTTCATACCAAATGTGTGCAGGATTTTACAACGCTGAGAGCATTAACTATTAACCAGCCACTCTGGGTCCATTTCAAAAGTGACCTACAAGTTAAGCAGAAGAAGATGTTTTTGAGCCTCTTCACAGGACAGAATGGTTCACAACGCTGCTGGGGAACTGGACAAAAATGAGTTTCATAATTCTCACGTCACATTCCCAGGCACGCAGAATAGTCCTTGCAGGGGGCAGACTCCATGGCCCTGGCTCTGACTTGGTGTTCGGCTGGAGCGTCAGGGAAGCTGCCAGAGCCGGAGCATACCATTGCTGTCGCCCTGCCAAGATCTCCATTGCCCACAGCTGCCCTAATTCTCCCAAAATGGGACTCTGCCCAGTCCCCGCTCATTGCTAAGAGGCTGATTTTACAGCAAAGCCCAAATTTCACTTGCTGAGTGGAAGAAGTGAGCTTTGCACCTGGAGAATTCCTCCGGCTCTGAAGAGGACTGTCTAAGATGCTGCTGTATTTCAGAAATCAAACCTTGGAAATAAATTCTTTTACTTACTTGCCAAATCTGCCCCTCTGAGCTCTGTATTTCCTTGCTTCAGTCTCAGTTGTCACTGACACTGTCTCAACAGCAACCAGTGTTCTCTTTTTGATCTCTGTAATGGTGTTAGTGACTACAGGCCAAATAATAGGTTCTACTGGCAGACTCCTAAGACACACTTTTGCTCTGAAGTAGCTGTACAAATAGCACTGCACCATTTCATGTTTATTTTCTGCTAAAGATTTCAGTATCTTATATGATCTATTTCAAAGAAATAAAGCTTTTTTCCCCATCTAACTACCAGTCCTGAAAATTCACCAGGGATTCAAAGAAAAGCTGTTTTTTTCCCTTGCTTCTGCATAGTTATTAAGAATACAGAGGCTGCAGGGCAATTTCTGCTCTGGCTTTCATCCGTATAACCTCTAGTATCTTGAAAACGTGCCTTCACTTTCACACACAGACTATTTGAGGTGGAGGGGGCCTGCAAGGCAGCCCCAGGTAGTGGTTGTGTTTCTAAGGGATGGGGCTGGAACAGAATCTGGTACCCTCTGCCAGAGCTACAAGATACTGAAGCTCCTTTCTCGCTCAGACCGGAGCAAATCATCTCCAAACACCTGTACCTCCAGCATAGATCAACTCAGTGACAATTTTTTTTCTTCCTTCTTTCCAGGATGTAAGTATTGCTTGTTGGAAACATGTTTGGGTTGCTTTTTTCTGTTTTCTTTAAATGAAAGAGGCATCTCCACCAGCCATATGGAGTGGCTCCTGCTCTGCAAAGCGTGTATCTGGTGGGCAGCGCATCCATTCAACCTTTCACAATACGAACCTTAATTCAGCAGGGAAGAGAGCTGACAGGCACCTCTGCAGCAGATTTAAATCAGAGGCAAAATCTCGAGCAATATTAAAGCGATCTGAACCAGCCAGCAAAGTCATGCTGACCTTCTGCCAGTACTACTGCAGCCCCAAGCGTGACTTCGGGTGCCGCATACTCAGGAATGACAGCACCGGGGGAAGCCAGGAGGCCCTTCCCGACGCTGCCTCTGCTCTGTTGCTGCCCGATGGAGTGTTATCACTATGACAACCTACAGGTATCGGATGCTCACTGTAGCGGGAGCTCGAGCTGACCCTGATTGCGTGTGCATGGCTCAGAGCTGGGCTTCCCTGCCCAGGAGGGGAGCAAAGAACATGTGGATCCACAGGTGACTCTCCCCTGACTCCGTCCTGTCGCTTGCTAGCAAGTTTGGGATGTAAGGCAAGGCGGGAGCTTTAGAGACACTGGGTAGCTAGGATTTTAAATAATCTTCTGTGGGACAAAGTAAGGGGAGCCTTATTATTCTCCTCTGTTTCTAGAGTCCTTCTTCAGGAAAAGACTTGTAAGAATATAAAGCTGCCCTTCAAACTCTGCCTTCTCCAGCCTGTTAAAAGGCAAAATGCTTCCAAACCTCATACACGCTGCCTGCCTCTGCGTGTGTGTGCGTGTGTGTGCATGCGTGCGTTACTTTCTTCCACTACTATGACAGCACATGCTCCTCCAAAGCTATTCACAGCATTAGAAATACAACTCCTCCCTCCAGTGCCGTGTGTGTGTGTGTGCGCGCATGGTGTGTGTGTGTGTGCATGGCTGGGGCTCTCTGCTTCGGCTCACTCCCCTCTCATCGCATCGCATCGCGGCGGGGCTGACGGTCACGACTCTGCTCCACACCTCCGGGCTTCACACGGAGGGGAGGAGGACCGGGGGGG